CTGCTGCTGCTGCTGCTGCTGCTGCTGCCCTCGCCAGCTGGTACGTTTGTGAATGATGTGGAAGGCCGAAGCGATCTGGCGTGCGCAGCATCGTCTGAGACGGGGGCGGCCGCCGTGTCATGACGGGAGGGAGAAGGAGAGATTGCTGCCGAGCTGTCGTGAGGGAGCGCCGGCAACGCCGACGAAGAGCCTGGCGCCAAACTCAAGTTGGCGGTTGCGTGTTGGAGCTGAGTAGTGGCGTCGTCTGTAGCGTTTGAATGGTAGGAGCTTGCGGAGCCGGAAGCGGCGTTGTCGGCGCCGTTGGCGTGGCTTTGGTGGCTCATGTTCGAGATCGAGCGGGTGGAGGGGGCGGGGTGCGAGGTATGGATGCGAGAGAAACGGTGGATGGTCCAATGTACGGGGAGGGATGGGAGCGTTGACGAGCGAGGCACAGACGTGGAACTTGACTAGCCACACGCCTGAGCCGGCAGCGTTGGGCTCCCGTGTCGAGGGAGCGGGCGGGCAGGGCAGCTGACGAGGTGGAGGGCTAGCTGAGGCACGGCATCCCAGCGTGAAGCGGCGAGAGGGGAGAGTGTTGCCAATGCGAGAGCGGTGTGCGAGTGCCAAAGGAGCGTCGAGCGTGGCGTCGAATGTAAATCGGTTGATGGTGGGCACGACGATGAGCGAAGCGGTTGCAGACAAGGATGTCGACGATGGTGAAGCAGGCTCTAGATGTGAGTGTGTGTGCGTGTGTGTGTGTGATTGGATGTACGGCTGGAGTAACGGTGAGTGTTGCAAGCCGAGTCGAGTCGAAGCAAAGAGCAAAGGTGAGGACAAGGGTGAGGGGAGCGTGGTGTGGAGAGAGGATGATGAAGGTGGAGCTGCTGCGATGGCTGGGGTGAGAAGATGGCTGCCGTGCGGTGCTGTTGCGGTGCTGTTGCGGTGCGGTCGCGGTGCTGTGCTGCTAGGATGCCAGAGCGAGAGAGAGCGAGAGAGAGAGGGGCAGAGAGAGAGAGCCAAGTTGGGTGCCTGGCCAGCGCACAGAGGCGGATCGGCGCTGCGCTCGAGTGGCTGCCTGCCTGACTGCCTGTGTGCGGGCAGGCGTGAGGTGTGTCAAGTCGCGCGCAGCCGTACACTCTGCACTCCCTCCAGCTGTCCCTCCAGCTGAGCAGAGAGATTCACCGCTTGCCCGCCTCTCCGTTGGTTCAACACTTCACCACTGCAACTCGCCGAGGGCGCTCCGCCGAAAAGAATAAAAATTCAAAGTCGAATAAAATCTAAATATCCATCCCCCCCCCTTCCTGGCTTCCTGGCTTCCTGGCGATGCGCGTGTGTGTGTTTGTAATCGAGAAAAAAAAGGGGGGGGGGGGGG